AAAAAAAAAAAAAAAAAAAAAAACCCAGTTATGTCTATTAAATCCTCTCTGTCATGAAAACAAACTGGTGCAATTTCTGTCTCCTGATTGTACCCTGGCTGGTACAGGGGTTACCCCTCTACTCCCAGCCTCTGGCCAGGCTCAGTGCCGGCATCCCATCTCACCCCTCCAAAGACAGCTGCCCGCCCTGCACCAGCACAACTCTACGAGATAATCCTCCTTAGGGTGTGCACCCTGGGCTCCTGCTGGCCTGACCCTAGTCCCAGTCCTGCCCTCAGGAGAGAGCCGGGAGAGTGTGGACCAGAGATGCCAGCCAACCTCAGAGCCAGACACAGTGACAATGGGCAAGAAGGAGGGAGATCAGTGCAAAGAAGCTGCAGCCCAGCTCAGGGGTCACTGGCGTCGCATATGTCCCACCTCAGCTGGAGTCACAGGTGACAGCTGATAGCAGGTGGCAGTGAGGAGCATCACTGGGCCACCGGGTCTGAGGATCATGGGCATTATGGTTCAGCTGCTGCTTGCTGGGTTTTGCTTATGCTGTACCTCCATGGTTGGCTCTGCCCTTTCTTTCAACGGGCCAAATGTCACAAGTCTCCAACTGACAGATGGCCCTGAGGCCAAGGAAAGGACTGTACTTTTTAATATTTTTGTGTGAGTTAGGGGGCCCTTTGACAATCCCCTCCTCCTTAGGAGGAGAGGCCAGGATGTAAACGTAAATTTAGATGTGAAACTCAGTATTTCAGGCAGAGTCTAACTGGAAAAAACAGAACTTTTAAGTATTCAAATAGATGGGAATGTAATGCAGTGAATTGGTTACACAGGCAATGCAAAATCTGTGTCCAAACGGGGTGTGGCGAGGCCACCCAGAGTTTAGCACCTCAGGAAGCCACTAATCTTCGAGGCGGGAAGGACTGAGGAAGGAGTGATGTTGCAGGTCGGGTCCTCCAGAAGCACACACTTAAGCATAGTTTGGGGTGCAAGATGTTTATTAGGGGTTGGCCCCTGAGATGGGAAAGGAGAAGCAGCAGGATGGCAGAGAAAGAAGGTACACAGTAATGCAGACCAAATTAAACCTCAGCCACGTCTGGAGTGTTGCCCACCATTGTCCCACATCAAGCCAAAATGGCCGGGCATTGAATACCCCACGCCCCTCAGATGTGGCCTGCTTCAGGAAAGGCTGACCCTGGAGTTGCTGACAGCTGAGGGCTGGCTGCTGGCTGCACCCCCTGCCGTTGGGCAGCAAGTCCTTCCTTGAACGGGACCTGAGCATCTTGTGTCCATCACAGGAGTGTCACCAGAGCCCAGGGCTGAGGGTCCCTGATGGAGCCTGGAACCACACTGGGCCTGAACGAGGGAGTTGGAGCCAGGAAGAGACATAGCTGCTAAAAGAAATCCTGCCCAAGGCAGAGAGGGAGGAAAGAAATAACTGGCCTCCCCCTTCCTCCTGCTTATAATGTCTGATCAGTGGCTCCTACTGGCCAGACCTGGTCAGAAACAGCTGACTGGGAGCTCGAGAATGCAGCCTGCAGGTGTCAGAGCCCTTGAGCAGAGCTGGAGAAGGAAAAGGACTCTAAGGAAATAGGCCCAGGAAATCCTGTTCGTGACTTTTCCTCTTATCTTCTCTCCAAAGCAACAAGGCTTAGAACCTGGGCCTGTTGACCATGCTCCCCATCACAACAGGCCACTTTGTGACATGATGATGAACACTGTGCTGACCCACTCAACAACTCCCTCAGGAATGAAGGACTCACCCTCAGCAGCTGGGAGTGCTGCTGGCAGACGGCCCTCAGCTGTGACCCTCTTTGGGGATGGCAATGGCTAAGGAGAGCCACTGTGCCCAAAGTTGTGCCCTTTCCTGTGGTGGCCAATATCTAATGACTGACTGAGGTGAGGCAAAAATGTCCAACCCCCTTACCCCAACTTGGGACCACTCTGAAGGGTCATCTGGCTTCAGAATTCCCTGAGGGTTGATGGACACCTCCGCTGAGACTGCGTCACAGCTCAACTTTCTCCTCTGCCCAGTCTTGCTGTCCTCCTTTCCCCACAAACACTCCCTCATAAACCTCCTACACAGTCATCTTCCTCTTGGGGTCTTCCTGTGGAACCCGAGCTGTGGAATTTGTGTTAAGCTCTGTAATCAAGTGAACTTCGTTTCCATCCTTTTGGCCTCCGGGGAACCCTCCTGTCACACCAGGGAGTGGGGAGCCCTCTACCTGGCTTCCTTTCAGTCACTCATATATACGTTTATGCCTAGAATGTTCTTCCCAGATGATCAGCAGCCTCAATCTTTCAACTCATTTAGGTCTCTGCTCAAATATCACCCACCTGTGAACAATGGTGTTCTCTAGCGCCACCCTCTGCCTTATTTTTCTTCATAGCACTCATCATCATCTGACCAATTACCTACAATTATTTGTTGGTTTATGGTGTGTCTCTGCCCACTCAAGAGCAGGGAGTCTGGTTTTGTTCACAGCTGTATATACACAGTGCCAGTGTTTAGCACACAGTGTGAGCTCAATTAAATTTACTAATGAATTCATTCATTCATTCATTCATTCATTTACTGAGTGCCAAGCCATGTGCCAGATGATGCCTTGGAAATTTCTGATCTAGAGAGAAAATTAAACACGTAGAAAAATCGTGATAACACAGTGTGGTAAGTGCTGTAATTGAGGCACAGTTGTCAAACAATGAGAGCAAGTTGGGCTGGCAGGCAAAGCTTCAGAGAGCAGGAGATGAGGGATTGGCTTTCCAGGGAGGAGCAAGGAAAACAGGCCATGGAGTGGGTGAACCATGGAGTGGTCTGGGCAGGCAGGCGGTGACAGCAGAGGTCTCTAGGACATCAGGATCAAGAGGATAATGAGGCAGGAAGGCCAGGCGTGCCCTAAGATCCAGCACTGCCTCTTCTGGAAACTTCTTCCTCAGAACCCTAGTGTGAATGTACAGAGATTTGTGTATGAGGGGGAATCACTGCCACATTGGCTACAATGGCAGAAAATAAGGAGCAACAGAGATGTTGATCAAGAGAGAAACAGCTAAATAAAGAAACTTCCGTAGTTTGCAGTACAGCAGCTATTACAAAGAGTTCCATCAGTCTATATGGACCAACTTGGAAAGACTCTATGTACTTGGTGAAATATCAAACAGAAAGGGATATTACAGAACTATATTGACAAAGTTAAACTCATTTTGTTCAAATATATGCACATACGTGTGTGTGTTTATATAAACGTAGAAGATCATCTGGAAGGAACGAACTTTTGACAGTGGGACTGTGGAATAGATAAGAAGAGGCTTTCATTTTCTGGTATTATTTGAGTTTGTTAAAACTGGCATGGATTGACTCTCAGATTAAATAAATGGAAAGAGAGAAAAGAAAATCTAAAGAGCTTATGGTCACCAGCCATCAAGGACAAACTGAAGGTGGACAAGTCCAAATAGGTCAGGATAATTGACCAAAACAGCTCAAAGGGGTTAAAGCAAAAGAGAGCCAGGAGTCAGGAAGGTGAGCTAACTCAAGACCAGGTCATTGCAGGCACTGGGGAGGGGTAGAGACATAGGTGACCTGATTCCGGGAGAGGCACTACTGATGCTCTGGCCTCCTCGAGGCCACTTCCTGCAGGCCTTACGTGTGTGCGGTAAGCCTTGGCAGTCAGAAAGGGCCACCTGCTGTTATACAGTGACTCCAATGGGGGCAGGAATAGCAGAGCTCAGATGAGGAGGTTCTCTTAAGGCAGGCCTTCTAGCTTTTTCTAAAGCAGCCCTTCCTTCACATATCCCAGAAGAAAGAGAAGATGGAACATCTCTGACTTTTCTCACCAAAAAAGGTCTTTCTTCTTTGCTCCCCGCAGGACCTCTCACAGCTTTTAGCAAGCCTATTTTTGCATTGTGAATCTCCAAGAGGGGATGCCGTATACAGCCCTTCCAAAAAGCATTTGACCACAGAGCACTCCTTCATTAGGTAATATATTTTAATTGCAATCAAGTTTTAATTATGTAAGTATTACTTGAGTGTTTTCTCCTTGTAAAGATCGCCATGCTATCCTGCTAGAGGGAAAGGCCATGTGGAAAGAGGACCTGGAGGATGAGACACCACGTGGAGAGAGAGCCATGCAGAAAAGGTCTGAGATGCTCTAGCCTTGAGGGTGAGGCTGTCTTGATCCTCCTGCCAAGCCCAGCTGAATGCAGCCACATGAATGAGCCAGATGGTTCCATGTGGAACAGAGGCATGCCAGCCCTGCTGAACCCTGCCTGAAGTCTCGACCCAGAGAATCATGCGCAATAACTGGGTTTTGTTTTAAGCCACTAAGTTTTGGCATGGTTTGTTATGCAGCAATAGATAACTGATATATTCTCCCATTCTATCCCCAGTGTCGATCTCCCCCTCCCCCAAGAAAATATTATCTTGAAATTTGTCTTTATCATTACTTTGCTTTTTAAAAATAATTCTATCAAGTATGTAAATTTTTTGCAGTCTATTTTATAATTTTGAGCTGTTTTTGAGCTTCATAAATATAGATTCATGCTACATGTATTCTAGGGAGAATGGAATTGTGGAATACTCACCCAATGAAATATTATTACAGCAGTGAAAATGAATGTTGCCACACACAATACCACAGATGGACAAAGCTTAGAGGCATAGTGTTGTATTGAAAACAGTAAGTTGCAGAAGGCTACAGTATAGATCACTCATCTTTTCATATGATTATTGGCCAGTTCTTCTTCTTCGAGTCTCTGGTTCTTGTTTTTTTTTTTTTTTTTTTTTTTTGGTCCATTTTTCTTTTGGGCTGTCTTTTTCTTTTTTATTTTTTACAGTGGAAGATTTGCCTTAAGCTATGTTGCCAATCTTCCTCCTTTTTCTTCCTTTCCCCCCACAAAGCCCCAGTACATAGTTGTAAATTCTTCTAGTTCTTCTATATGAGCTGCCACCATGGCATGGCTACTGACAGGTGAGTGCTGTGGTTCTGCACCTGGGAACCAAACCCAGGCCGCCAAAGCAGAGTGCACCAAACTTTAACAGCTAGACCATCAGGGCTGGCTCGTCTTTTTCTTATTGATTTCTTGGAATCCTTTCTAAATTTTCAGAAATGTCCTTCAGCAGTAGAATACTAGGAATTACTTGAATCTTGAGAAACATTTCCAAGAGAAGAGTTTAAAATTACCAAATCAAACAAAAAAAAACACCCTGAAAGTATTGAAAAAAAGAATGAACAAAATTAACAACAAATTAAATAGGCTCTTTGACTCCTTGCCTGAAAATCCCAAGGATCAGAGACCTGACAGAACCTTGGGCTCTGTTGCTAGATAAGAGGCTGTTTACATAAATCCACAGTGCACAGAGGTTATATTTCATATTTTCTTTGCTACCAATAGGAAATGCATCATTTAACTGGAGATATGGCCCCCTTTTAAACATTTCCTAGGCTAGACCAAGGAATTACTGTTCTTCCTAGCAGTGAATTTACATGCACTTAGGAAAACAGACTCCTTTAACCCCCGAAGAGTCACATTTCCTTCACGTAGGTCACTTGATAGGGCCATTATAGACTCAGATAAGACATGTGGGACTCTGTTTAATCTGTGACAATTTTCTTGTGCCTCTTCATTTATTAAAAGAATGTATCCATTAGCAGTCATTAGTACATTCCGTCAAGATGGGGGCTAAATTATCTTCTATGGCTTAAGAGAAAATGCTTTTTCAAGAAAAATAATGGCATTAATTGTCCAGTGGAATAGATATGGCTTTCTTTGACATAACTTCTCCCTCCTCCCCCAGCGGAATCGGACACTGCTCACCTCTGTCAAAGATCCAGGCCATTTTCTCCCTACCCCATGAGTCAGCTCCTTGCTCCAGCCTGTGGCCTCTCCGGTGGCAGGCCACTATCTACAGGGAATAAATAGAGCTCCTCAGTCCATCACAGTGAGGAACCTCGGACTGATTCCTCTTACTCTCTAATTCATCCAAGGGAGGAGGAAGGAGACGCCTCACTTAGCGAACAATCTCATTTGGAGGGACTCTGTTTTAGCAACAGGAAGCAAATCACATTAGAGAAATCATCACCCTCCTGTAGCTCCAAACTGAAACTGATCTCCTTCTTGACCTTTTGTCTGGAACATACACTCTGTGGAAAATGTGGTTCAAGGAGGGAGGGTGTAGGGCTCTGTGTGTGTGTGTCTGGTATGTTTTCATGATTAAAATAAGTTTTCTATGTGGCTTTTTTAATTAAAAACCTTAAAGTTTTATATCATCTCCTAATGGTATATCTCCAGGGGTTTTCTTTCTCTTACTTACTCCCTCTCAGGGCACATGCATTCTCACAGGCGTTAATAATTACATCTATAGCAATTAAGATATCTTCAGGTGAAAGTAATAAAATACCAACTCATAGTGACTTAAATAACAAAGACATTGAATAAACTTATGTGCAACAAGAAGTCTGGAGGTCAGCCATTCCAGACTTTGTCCAGCAGAGCAACAAGAGCACCAGTGACCAAAAGTTCTTACCATCTTTCTGCTTTGTGACCATCAGCGTGTCAGCACATCAAGATGTCAAGCCACATCTCTCAAGCCACACCTCTCCAACAATCCCATTCTCTCCTGACATGTTCGCGAGCAGGAAAGAAGGAGATAGAAACGAAACAGTCCTTCTCCTCATGGAGGTCTTTTTTATCAGGAAGAAAATCCTTCCCAGAAGCCCCCTAGCCTCATTGGCCAGAACTGGATTGCGTGCCCATCCCTTGACCAATCAAAGGGAAACAAGTTACCATATTTGGACTTAGGCCAATGGTGACTTATCCTCTCCATCTGGTCCAACCCAAACACAGGTGGGATTCTATTCAGAAGGAAAGAGGAATTGTTGATGGGGCAACAGCTCCCAGATCCTTATTTTTAGCCCTGCCTGTTCTTCTCACCTCCAGTTACATCTTCCCAACAGCCTGCTGGGCAGTACTACTTCATTGTCCTACTGTCACCTGGAACTCAGTCTGTCAGGGAACAAATTCCTTTTCTTATCTCCTAATACTGCCTCCCGTTTTTTGCATTTCCTGACATTTCCGGTAGTTGTTTCATCCATCCATCATGGAGGCTGCAAACCTCAAAATCACTTTTGATGCCCTCTCTGTCTGGACTTCCTTATCCAGTCGGTCCCCAAGAGCACTCAATTTTTTATCTTCCTAACGTCTCCCACTCAGGCTCATCATTTCCACTCTTCTTGCTACTCCTTCAGTCATGCTGTTCCAGTTGCACATGGACCACATCATTTCATCTGAAAAGGGCCCCAGCCTCCAGGGTCATGCACTCTGCAGCGAGATTCACCTTATTAAAGCCTACAGGCCTCATCTCTCCCTTGTCTAGGACTAGGCTCCCATATGTCTATAAGAGGAAAATCCAAACCTCTTAGTTTGTGTTTTGAGATTTTCTACATCACCTTTTGAAAAGGATTCCCCATTATTCTTGCTCCAGCCAGACTGGTCTATTCATTGTTCCCCAAAATATGCTTTATGCATTCCCAACACCATACATTTGTCCACACCAATCTCCAAGATGAGAATACCTTTGTGTTCCCTCTCTCCTATCTGAATCCTACCTGGCCTACTCATGGCTCACTGCTGAAATCTTCTTAAATATCCTAGGCTACCATGACTGTTTTCTCCTCTGAAATCCTACATGCTTGTGGAATTATAAGTCAGTTTTGTTTGTTTGTTTGAGGAAGATTAGCCCTGAGCTAACATCTGCTGCCAATCCTTTTCTTTTTGCTGAGGAAGACTGGCCCTGAGCTAATATCCGTGCCCATCTTCCTCTACTTTATATGTGGGACGCCTGCCACAGCATGGCTTGCCAAGTACTGCCATGTCCACACCCGGGATCCAAACCGGCGAACCCCGGGCCGCCAATGCAGAACGTTCGAATTTAACCACTGCGCCATCGGGCTGGGCCAATAAGTCAGTTTTTAAAAAGAAATTTTAGGGTTAAATAATGATGCAAGTGTAATTCTGTTGTGGCTGTATTACCTGTACTTTGTGATGCGCCACAATAATACTTGCATGGTAAATAATGATCCAATACTGTTGAATATTGGGGAAAGTTTTTTAACTATTCCATTCTAATTATTAAATTCCCAAAAGTTCAAAACCCTTTTAAAAGATAAAAGCAGTAGTACCCTAAACCACGGCTGCAGCAGATTCTTCAAAAGAGTACCATTAGATTTATACACTCTGACGTCATCTATCAGGGGGACACCATTCCTTCATTCTTTCACTCGTAGCCAGGAGGTTGCAATTTTATTGCCTGACAATTGCCATCAGAGTTCTTGGCAGGAGAGCTCTCTATATTTAGGAAAATATCTTAACAAATTGCTTGGGGATGGAGAGTGAGGTTCAGACAGAATTTAACCACACTATTTGTAGCAGGGTGCCATGCTTGTACCTAGGTAAGTGGAGAACTTACCTTCTTAACCATTTCCTCATAAAGAAATACCAAACTGCTTAAAGAAAAATGGCAATGTTGTCAAGACAGAACCTTGTATAGAAAACTAGAAGACAAACAGAACTATTTTTGGTTCAGTTATTTTGTAAGAACTATAGCAAAAGACTAGGAGGCCCTGGGCTGAGCTGCTACGATTAGGTGAAAGTGGACCTGGGACCAATTTGCCCGTAGGGCTTCTCTGAAGGAAGTGCTTCAAGTACGCTTTTTGTTGATATCTAGGGTTTATAAACCTGGCAGGAATTTGGGTTCTGCCACTTACTTTGATTCTCGGAATTTATTTCTTCATTTGGAAGATAGAAGAGGGGAGGCCCATCCTACATCCAGGCTTGAGCTGTATTTTATTTTCCATATGTACTCACACATTTGTGTTTATCTTTTATAAGACTGAGTTCTTATGTTTTGATTCATGTATCTTTGATAACATTGTCTATATCAGTAGTGATGCTTTTAGCAGCAAATAACAGAAAACTCCATTACAGCTGGCTCATACTTAAAGGGGACTTATTGATTCATGTAACTGAAAAAGTCCGGATAACGGGTAGCCATCAGATACTGTTGCATCTGCCTCCAAATCTGCCTTTCCATGATTTGTTCGGCCCCTCCCTCTTTTGTCGGTTGGCTGTGTCCTCAGGCTAACAGTAAGGACTGTAGCATTTCCTGGCCTTGCAGTCTGGCCATAACAATATCCAAAAGAAGAGGGACCATCTCGTCCCAACACTACTCCTAAGTGCAGGAACCCTCTTACCCAGAAACTCCTACCAAACCTTCCATTTCGTCTCCTTGGCCAGAATTTGGTCAAGTGCTCACACCTGAACCAATCCCCTTGGCCTGAGGAATCCCACACACTGATTATTCTAAGATCTGGATTCCTAAACTAATCTCTGTGGCGGGGGGGCAGGATTACACATAGACCAATCAAGCCCACACTGCAAATGGAGGCATAGTCAGAGTCTCTAAACCTCAGGCCTGCGGGAGGGGGGAGGTACCCTGAGCAAAAATCAGGGTGCTGCCAGAAACAGGCAGAGGAAGTGGATGCTGGGTAGGCATCTTCAAAGTTCATTCCATACTAAATATTAGAATACCTATTTCATCTGGAGCCCACGAAACAGGATACAGCTATGTCTGATAACCAAAGGTTGTAATGTTCACAGAGTTCAAGTCTGTCAGATCTTTATCTAACCAAGTCTAAAAATTCCCACAAGGAAATGAGAAACATGTAAACAATTACAGGTCTGTGGGTCACTGTACACCAGCATACGTGAGACCGATTGTTTCCACTCCATATGGGATAGTAATCAGCTTAATTGCACAGAAAAAATAACCCTCCAGAACGAAAACTGCTCCACTGTTTCATCAGAGGAAAATGAAAGAAGCTGAAAAATATACTTCCTTCAAACAGAAAAACAGGCAAAATGTTGGAAAGGATAGATCAAAAGTGAAACAGTCTTTAATTGCTATTTTTTTTCACCAGAGGAACATAAACGAAGTTGGAAGATATACTCTTCAGATAGAAAAATAGATATAATGTTGGAAAAGATCGATCAGAGGCTGAGTAGTTTTTGTCAATCATTAATGTCCATTTTTATTCTGCCACCAAGTTGACACTCAGAATTTATCAGTTTTGTGAGTGTGGTGAGCAGTCTGTCAATCCCTCCTTGCTTTAGGCTCAATTTGACTTAGAAGTACAGTCGATCCATTCTTCCAACAAAACATCTATTGAGGGCCTCTGAGGTACCAGGCTGCCCTGTGCCCGTAGCATAGTCACGTGGCCAGCCAGCTGCTTTCTTTCCTTTTCTGAGAAGAGGTTGTCTTGGAGGCCACCATTCAATGGCCTAGGGACATTATATCCTTCTTTTGAGCAGCCTTGATCCTTCCTCTGATGTCAGCTCACATAGGTCACCGACTTACTGAGCTCCCGCTACCAAGAAAGAACAGTACAAAATGCTACGTGGGAAGATAAGAGAGAAATCATTGACATAGCTCTTGCTCCTGAGACCCTCACAGCTTTCCTGGAGATACTGCACCACCAGGAAAGAAAGAAGAGAACATACATTTCTAAGAGTTGATGAACTGAGACTCAAAGGGTAGGTAGTGCAGGAGTGAAATATGTCTTCTAATTCCCAGGTTAACATGGTATATGTGCAGGATGGGAAGGGAGACTGGCATGAATGAAGAACAGTGGGAAGGAACGAGTAGAAGAAAGGCTACACTGTGGAAGGCCTTCGAAGTCAGAGATAGAATTAGACCCCGTGGGCTAAAGAAAAGGGAAATAGTCTACATCTCAAAAGCAGGGGTGTGATACAGGTTTCTCCTTCCCACCTCCCAAAAAGTCATTCCTGTCAAAGCAGCCAGTGTGGCGTAGTGGAAAAAGTAAAGCCTATGGTGTCCAAACAGCCTGGGGTTGAATCCTGGCTCAACCACTTATCAGCCCTGTGGCCTTGGGAAAGCTACTTATCCTCTCTGAGCCTCAGTTTTCTCATGCAAAGAAATAAATGAAGTCTATATTCTAAAGTTGTTCTGTCCAGTATGATAGCCGCATGCTCTAAGTGGCTATTGCACTTGAAATATAGTTAGTCCAATTTCAGATGTGCTGTAAGTACAAAATACACACCAGGTTTGGAAAACTTAGCATGAAAAAAAGAAAAGGAAAAATATCTCATAATTCTTGATAACATGCTGAAATGATAAGGTAGGAGTTATTAGGTTAAACAAAATACATTATGAAAATTAATTGTATCTGTTTCTTTTTACCTTTTTTAATGTGGCTACTAGAAAATTTAAAATTACCTAGCCACGATTCTAGACAGAGCAGGGAACAGTTCTTTTTCTCTAATGGAAACTGAAAGTAGGATTTTGTACCCTTAACGTCTTTAAAATCAGTGAGTGTAGTAATTTGTAGACATGGCCACAAATTCTATCCATGCCTTTTGGTCATGTCCTCCTGCTGTGACTCTGGGCTGGACTTGTTACTTGCCTTGCCAATGGGAATTAACAACATGACGTGAGCAGAGGCTGTCAAACTACTTGTGCATCAGAGCTTGCTCTCTTGGAAACCTTGCTACCACTACTAAATGAATAAGCCCGAGCTAGCCTTCTGGATGAGAAAGGTACATTGCCAACTTTTCCCCATTGCCCCAGCTGACATGGAGTCAACCACTAGATATGCAAATAAGGCCATTGTAGATCATCCAGCCCCAAGCGAGCTGGCCAGCTGACCCACAGAATCATGA